TATTACCGCAGATGATAAAAGGCACATTCCTTAAATCTCACTCTATCTTCAAAACCTCCTTCACCTTCAATTACACATCTCTCGCTTCGAAGTTTTTGAAAAATGATTTCATTTCGAAATTTTTCATTACAATTTGTGACTAGTCAATAACTCAGATAAATGAATGAAAAAATAACAAAACTATGACTTAACTGAAGATTTAAAATCAGAAGCATTTTGAATGTTGATAAAAATGTTTTTTTGAACTGAAAGTTTGTCTAAAGTCTCATCTGAAATCATTCCTTTCTAAGCATCCGCTCTTTAAAGACAAAAATGTACATCGCTTAAAACTAATCATTCATTTCCTATTTTATTTGTGCATCCATATATTATATATTATAATGAAAACAAAAAGATAAAAAGGCCTACAAATGGAATCTGTCATTCTAGCATACACTCTTCCTGAAGAAAAGAAAAGTTCTCAGATCACTGTTTAACATTTTCTGTTTCAAATCTGAATATTGCTAACGTCTTTAACTTACCATGAATCAACCGCATTTTATTCAATTTAAATCCATTCAAATATTTAAAAATCGACGTTCCAGAAAACGAAAAAAAATAGAAAAATACTGTTTTCTAATCGGCTACACGTTTAATCATTACTGATTCTTCATGTCACTGTGTTATCTGGAAAAGAATATTACAGCAAATATTATCAAATAAACTACTCTTTTCATGAGCGCCAATATTTTAATTCATTAAAAATTCAACATTTCAAGTAATTTATAAAAAAAAGTTGAGGGAAGAGGAAGGAAATAGAGCAACTATAATCTATGAAGTATAGAGCAACAAATGGTATGATCAAAAGCTGAAATAAGCTAAACAATTTGCCGAAATTGCAAAAACAAAAGTTAAAGATTCATAGTAGCATTCGTTACTTTCGTAAAATAGGAATTCAGAAAGAATTCCTAATGAAAATTCATGAGATGACCACTTCCCAACGTTTATAATATTAGATATTTCTCGAAATTCAATACCGATCACCTCAGAGGAATCATTGCAGGGCGAGAATGCCACCCGAATGATGACCCTATCCTATCCTATCCTATCCTATCCTATCCTACCGATGGACAACAACTCTGCCACTCTGCCAACAGCCCCATTCAATACATGTACATTTGTATGTCTGTCGATGTGATACGATGAGCGTTCCACGCATCGCTCAGGGAATGGCCACTGTTCCAGAAATTTCTAGATCTTCTGCACACGTTCAAGAAAAGTATTCAATTCAGACAGTACTGATTAGCGTTGATGGGTTAATTTTTATCTCCGGTCAATTGACCGATCAGTAATGAAGAGCAATCTGTCTGCAAAGCATACTGCTCTTCCATTCACTATTCTTCCTCATTCTATTCTCTTCAATATTATATAGGTAAATTGACCAATTTGTCCCAATGGTTTACTTCCTGTCCTCAATTCGAAACCTAACACTATACTGTCCATCTATTAAAATGACGAAATTAGTTCCTACAGGAAGGAGGAATAGTTATCAATTTCGAAATCGTAAGCAATTATGTTAGTACAGTTCCAATAATCATTTTGAAGCTAATACAATTGGCTTGTTAATGATCAATTCTATTGCCTTTATGTAGTACCAGAAGTTTACAAGACTCGTATCACATTTCTCTTTACTGTACGTTTTTATAAGAGTGTAAATGGATGAGGATCAATGATTTCATCTCTTCATAAGATCAAAATAAAAGATTACAAGGCATTGATTTCACCTCTCTTTCGTACAGTGCAACGTACCACAAACTGTTGTATCACCAACTGGATAGTAAGAGTGGTCATTTTAGTTATTAATCAATTTGTGTTCATATGAACACTACAAAATCAATTTTGCAGCGAGATGAAAGTGGAAATTGCAACGACCTATTAGCACCATAGCGTAGTCATTACAGTAGCAAAAAATGTACACATCATAGATCTTTGCAGATCACGAAATCTAAAAAATGCTTATCCGTCTACGGCTTGTTATAAGCATTAGAAGTAAGAAACTCTACATATAATTATTGAATGACCATGGTATCCAGACCTCAATTCTAAATGAATGAGAGATATGACATATTAAAACAGCTAGATGATATAAACTAATGACTGAACACTCTAACAGGTTGGTGAATTCAAAAATACGCTTCGTTAGGTTGCACTTTAGGCTTTTCGGTTTTTAGATTATGTTCATCATGCAGTCTGAGAAAAAAGGGTATTAATAGTTAGTGATTTTATGTATAAAATTAACATAAATTAATGCGAAAGATCGAAAAACTATAATCTACACAACCAATCAAATATAATGATGCATTCTTTCCACTGTCTACGAAAACGCTTAAAAAGTTGAGTTTATTTATGAGGAAAATATTACTACACATTTCATATTACCTACAAACAAAACGCTGGAAACAATAACTAAAGACAAATAAACTATTGACGAAAAATAACCACATCAAAATCAATTTTCATTAAATCTTAATCCGCGGAACATTTCTTCATTAAAATTAGAGTAAGTTTAACTCTGGAACTTTTCAAGAAATAGACTGAAAAAAACAGCTCGTTTGAGCTTGTCCCCAATATATAGAATTTCCGCTACCATAACCACATTCTATGGAGTCTGGTTTGAAATTCAATTATAGACAACCTTAATAAAAAGTTTCCTAAATTCCGTGATTATCATACAGTTTCAAAATACGTCTGAAATTAAGATAATCACTTTTTCACACTAACATCATTAGGCTTCAACTACTGGGTGACATTCTGAGTATCTTAGCGGCTTTTTCTTCTTCTATCCTTTTCAGTTGTTCGTCGACTATTAACTTCCGTTCTTCCAAAAATTTACGGTATTCCACTGGGTCAAGATCCTCACGAACAATTTTAAGCCCAATTGTACGAGCTGTTTTAATGAGTTGTTCACATATCATCTGAAGGAAAAATTCATTTCGATAATACAGCGAAATGCTTAAAAATTGAAAGCACAATAAGTCTGCTTACTAATGAACTGGTAAATTAATATACCGAAACTCCTTTGTTAAAATGTAAATAAAGACGACTAACTTTTAATGGGACACCAACTAAACATTTATCAACAGCCTTTATTTTGGCTATCTCGTAAATATGCTTTACTGTAATCATCCCGGAAATTTCCTCATCTGAAATTCTGCAATATTCTTTATAATATCATACAGTATAATTTATATGAATCCTTCAAAAAATAGATATTACTGAAACTGGTTTGCTTGTCGACTCTTTTATGCTATTTCGTCATTTAATTAATCCATGGCTTGAATATTTTTTTAAGATAATTAAATATTTAATTGACAGACCAGCAAAAATAAAACTAATAAAAATTATCAAAACACTTTGAAATCTAAGTTTAGTTGCAATCACCATCCACAAATACTTACGTGGGCGTACAGATCCACGTCTTATCCCCGCTGCATGCATCAGTAACCAAATAGATGTTGGTGTGCAAATTTCCATGTCATATGTACGATCTGGTTTTATTGTGAGCCGTACCGGCAATGGGGTACCTGCTCGTAACAAAAATAACTTTGAAGGCTTTGAATATTTTCAGCTCCTTGTTAGAAATAAACGATGAAACATCATTAAACCCTGCACTAAAATAAGAGTTGAAAAAAATTCTCAAGAACTCAAAGAAAAAGTCCATTTCACATGTATGAAGATGTGTTCCTCCAATCGGGAATTTCAACGGCCATTAAATTTATAATAAATGCAACAAAGAAAAGTACCAGGTTTGATATTACTCGTCGCTCGATTGAAATCTTTGCAAAAACTCGCCACATTAACGCCCCTTTTGCCCAAATTAGGTCCCAGAGGTGGTGCAGCTGTCGCCATTTGTGCTCTGAACAATCAGTCTATTAAAGAAAAAATTCGAATATTAAGTAAAAATAAGCAAAGAAAACACGCATTATAGGTAAAATAAATGCACATATACCTAACAAACATTTTTGCAATGCATGCCTATTTACTTTCAACTTAAACATCTCCAATTAAACTTCTTTTACACGTTTTACATCTTTAAGAAAACTTTGTGCATAATTACTATTAATATCACAACTCGTCTTGTAAACAATGACAAGTATTAAGTGATGTTGAGGCATTGTTAGAAGAACCTTTTTTTCAGGGATTCAAAGAGACCAACCAACTATAATAAGTTGGTCACTTTTATATATTGCATCATTTATCAGTTGTTACTGATAAAAAAAAAATGAGAAAAATAACATGAAGGTAGGGTAGTAAAACAGAGTATATTCTGTTTTAATTTCCCTTCAGTTTCATGGTATCAAAATAAGCGCAATTACATGCTTTTTTGTGCAATCAATACAATTAATTAATATAAATTAACACAAGTGTTTAATTAATACAATCAGCAGAACGAGAAAGAAAGCAAACTTACTTGACAATCGCTTTGTATAACGGATTATGGATAATTTTGATAACAGGCTTTTTCCTCACTCGAACACCCATTTTTGCCACTGTCGACATTTTCCTGTGATTGAAGCTAGACTAACAGATATTTTGGATGAGTTTCACATATCACGGAGTACAACTTTAGCGCCCTGTCGCATGCTCAAATTAAGTCCGAAGTTTGTTTGTGCCGAATCCGAAATTTACGAGATATTATTAGCTATTATCAGGCAGTAGGGCTGCACTATTCGCTTAGTTGACGTGGGTAGCAGCGCTCTTGGGGTGGGTAGGGCGTGGGTGGTGGTGACTCGGTTGATTGCTACCGGAATGGGTGACACGTGAACTGTATGGATGAATGATGCATCACAGGGAGAAAAGGGTCTGGGTGCAAGTGCGTAGTACCATGAGTGAATGGCATCCGAATGGTAAGCGTTTTCGCTTACAATGCGACGAGCGTGGGTAATGAACCTATATATATATATATATAGACATTCATATACATAAATACCTGTAACGTATCTATGTCAAAGAGCAGAAGGATGCAACAGGCGAGTGAAACGATCGAGAAGGAAGTGACAGGAAGAGAGTTGGAGAATATGGTGATGGAAGAGGATTACCTTTATGAAACTATGGATCCAGCCGGTGCAGCAAATATTGAACGGGGTCAAACAACCGCTGATGATGGTTATAGTGATGGACCACCTGTTTGTGAGGTGTATGAAACTATCGATGAAAGCGGTGGCATTAATTCCTGTAAGTATTTAATATAACACTAAGCAGTAAGTTATTATTATAAATTGGTAAAGTGGCAGCTTTCTATGAGAATTAATTCATTGTCGAATTGAGCAGCAAATAATCATGGAATCCGCCAATTTCATGCGACACCGCTTTCCATTTAAGCATTAGAAAGCAGTACGGGATCGTATGATGCGTATCATCCTGGATCATCGTTCACTACTCGTGCAGCCCTTCCTCCACATGCCAAAGTGATGATGTTGATGAAATCAAACACACCTGGAGAGAAGCCAAGGCTGGTGAAATTAGAACCAGTGGAAAATCCCTCAAAACCTGATTTTCGATTTGCTTTTGAGACGCTGCGAAAATGTGTGAAGAAAAGTACTCCACCACAGATTCCACGTACTCGCAAACGACGAATTATTCAACCTGTAATGAAGAAAAATAAGGTTTTCATTCCGAATTGCTGCGCTACTTCTTTGGTAGAATTATAATCAGTTAATAGATCAAAAATTTCTTTATTTACTTTTTAAAATTCTACATGTTGTAAATAGCTAAATGAAAAAGCATTCAGATCTTAAATTTGAAACAATTAGTGAAATTCAAATACTCTTGGAGATTCATTTGTTTTTTTTCAGAGTATTGTCAATCCTGCAGAATCCAGACAAATGACGACACGGAGCGGACGAAAAGACCTGAAGTCAGAACCTACTAATGATGATGAAAGTAAGCTACAATATGTGCATTGTACAGTTAGCAACAAATTAATTGCAATCTTGAAATCATTAGAGGAGTTTCAAAAATCTCTCAAATATTTCGATACTTGTGCATTTATCTAATTCAGTTTTCGTTAGGTATTGAGAGTGAACGAAATAGAAGGCCTAGACGTGCTCATAAAGCTCCACAGAGATATGGAGATTATGTTGATGAAACGAATCGGGATGCTGCACGCATAAATCTAACAGATATTCCGGGTTTTGAACCAGAAGCCGAAGAATCAGAGCAAGGGGAAAGGTCACGAAGAAGCCATCCAACTAACATGCGAAAGGTGAAACTCATGTTAGAACAGTGTTAGTCAATTTCGAAAATAGTTTTCATTTCCAAGCAAACTCATTTTTGAGAATTTTCAAAAGTTATGTGGTTTTCAAGTTTTCTCTTGATAATTAAGGCAGAGGTTCCCCCTAAGATTTAAGACTTTGAATATATTGGGTGAAATCATTGATGATGGCTTTAAGAGAAGTTTCGATGGAAACTTGTCGGAAGGGCAGGAAGAAATAAACGAAGAAAGTGAAGATGATAATGAGAATGAGTTTTTCGAGGATGAAGAGATGGTTGATGTAGAAGGACGCGAGGAAGAGGAAAGGCTCAATGAAGTTAGTTGAATTATATAATACTTGGATTTTGCTTTTGTAATTTCAACTGTATGCATCATCCAAATATTTCTCGATTGTTCCGAAGTGAAAAGAGAAAAAATGCTTGCATATGCATCGGATAGTTTCATATTTCTTACTGGCCAGATTTTTTAGATTTCATATGTAGATTAGAGAAGTTTGAAAGGACATGATTTTGTAACACGAAGTATTTTTTGATTTTTTCCCTTCGTTTTTACCACTTTCAAGAGTTTAATTTCTATTACGTAAGAGCTTAATGCGTTACTTATTTAGTTCCGCGAACTCCAAAATACTGAGTCTTAATTCGTGATTTTTAAAATCAAGTCCGAAGCGTTTCACTTGCAGACTGCCGAAGAAAATGTAAAAAAGGATGAAAATCAAAAATCCGTAGGTGGGCAAAAAAGAAAGCTGCAATGCGATCGTTGTAATCGTTACTTCGCTAATCATAATAGCATGAATGCTCATCGTTTCAAAGTACATCGAGTTGTTATACGGGTAAGTTTTTTCTAAACCTAAACTATTCTAAAAAAAGTATTGCAAATACACATAAGGAAATCTACCAAGGACTAGAAAGTTTTACGGATTATTAGCTTTCGCTTTGAACTTCTGGATGGCAGCGATTTAGTATTTTATGGAATATAATATCAAATTTTTTCGATTATTATTGTCAGTTTTGCTATCTTTGTTTTTTATCTATATACATATCGGAAGACTGCCTTTTATTACTCCAGTATTTTTGAAACTATTGATCTTAAATTTTTCATACAAATTAATACCTTTTTAGGCTTCCGTCAAATGTCCAGGCTGTGAGCATCGTGCTACAACAATCCATACATTGAATGAACATGTGGCTGATGAACACGGTATCAAATTGCAATACGTCAAAAGAAAATTCAAAAGTACTGGAGAATTTCAGGTTCCTTTTTTATCTGTACACATATCTGAAAATTGCCTTTTGTTACTTTATTTTGATAGTTTACTGAGACGCATTTAGGGGAGAAAAATGAGGGAGGATAAAAGGAAGAAGAGATGGAAGGAAGGAAAAAATGCACTCGAAAATGAACGAAAAAGTGTTGCAGAGTTATTGCTAAAAATAAATTTCTGCAGTTTGGTTGGAAAGAATTCCATTTTCAGAATTATTTGGATGATTTAGCCGTGACTCGAAATATGGGATTTGTTTTGCACAGGAAGTCAGAAAACAAACGACAGTTATATTGCAATCGTTCTGGAGCAATAAGGTGATGGAACGGAAAAATATGTTTTTGTTTATAGATGATTTATATAGTTTTTAGTTTTTTGTGGTAAATTTTTTGGGATGTATTCTACAAAAATTTCAGTGAATTTATTATTTGATATTGTAGAGTAAATAAAGGTGGTTCGTTGCGCAATCGTCCCCGAAAAGGCACTGCCAAAATTGGTGCAATGTGTCCTGCTCATTTGTTTTACACAGAATGTGATGATGGGTAAGGAATCAAATGTATTATTTTTCACATTTCTTAATTTTAAATATTTAAAAGTTTTTTCTTTTTCTTATAGAATTAAGTTTAGACAAGCGTTTTATAGATCTATCGAAGTGAATGGACAGTTGACTCATTTTGGTCATGCATTAGACCCTAGATTTGTTTTTCCAGCTACCAGTTCTGAGAAAGTGTCAGCACGTGTTAGACTTACACGTCCTAAAAGGTTTTTGTATTTTTTGCGTCATCTTTTCAATCTTACCTTGTTCCACTTCATTGTATGCGTTTATTAAATTCTTTGAAAAATTCATATTTTCTCAGTAAATATTAATATTTTTATTTGAAACCTAGATAATTGCAGAGATTTGCTGCACAGAAGTGTTCCAGTAGATCTTCAGGGTTGGCCTTTTTTTCAGAAATTTTATTTTATTTTATTAAATTTCTGAAGCTGAGTAATAATATCAGATTTATTTGTCGAAATTTAATAATCCTTACGAAGCTCATAATTCGTCAGATATCGATTACAGATCATAGCAAAAGCACAGGAAGCGATGATGGTAGTTTTGTCAATGTTGATAACGATAATACGAATGGATTTGATGAGGTGTGTAACGAGTTAATTGTGTCATTTTTTTGATTTGTGCTTACATGCGCAAGTAATCAATGATTTTTCTAACGTCTAATTTGGGTCGGTGCTTAATACATGTTAGGCGGATGGGATTTGAAAGTTGAATATCAATGATACTGGAATAAAGCACGTTTTAAATAATGATTGATGTTACCGGACCCGAATTTTTTGATTATGTCGAATGAATGCTGAGAAAAGCTAATATCTTGCATATTTGTGTGAACAGAAATTTCTTTTAGAGTAGAACTCGTCATAGAGGGGAAAGTGAGATTGTACTGGAACAGCGTTACGGACCACTGCATCCAAATTCGGATGAAATTGATATAAGGATGAAAAACATTGATCGACTTTGTTCATTTTTGTTCGACAATGTATCGGAACAACTTTATCGTTTGAATGATGAAACAATGGATATGGTATTGAGAGCAGTAAGTTGAATCTGAATTTTAGTGATTTTTTACCCGAAATTATTTTTTTCTTAGAAAATTTTGGCCGCTGCTCACAATTTTTGTTTCAGCTTCGTACAACGCAAAATTCAATTTCAAATTTAAATAGTATGATGATACAAATTAAAGAGGGTGACCCTGATGTTGTACAAAAATTTCAACGACGTGGACCAGGCTCACGTTACGCGCAGTGGTTGCCGTCGTTTGCAAATATGTCAGAGAGGGTACGTACGGAATCGGTAAGTTTTTTTTTTTTTATTTTCAGCGATCCATATAAAGTTCCGATTGAATTTGTTAAATCAAAATTTTTGGCAGAGATTAGGTTTTTTTAGTTTGAAAATTTTTCCTTTTGACCATTCTAACAGCTCTTAGCTCTAATTCTTTAATGTCTTCACAAGAACAAAAAAAAATGAGAAGCTTGATAAGTGATCATTTCAAAGTATACATTGGTATAGGTTTAGATTGAATTTCACTCATTTTTAAATTCAATATTTGGGATCATTCATAATATTTCAGACAAGCAGTCGGCAACAACGACGGCAGATGTATGACACGGAAGATTACGATGAAGATACTGTATATTACAGACATGTACCATTACGTACCACTGATGAATACGAAAATGTTTACGTTGTGGACGAGGGTCAGGTTGAAACAAGTGGAGAAGTGGAAGCAGGTGAAGAATATTACGAAACTTATTGATCTTAATTTTTTTCTTGGTGATTTGATCCTATATTGTTTTAGTTCATTTTCACTTTTTTACGAATTTTATAATTATGTTGAAAAACACTTTATAAAATTTTCTGGAATTCCGGCTTGCCTTTCTTTGTCTAGTCTAGTGATCGCGAAGTTGATCTCTCCAGTGTGCACTGGTTGAGCGGTGAGAATAAGCCAAAACGATTGCTTTTACGTTGACAATAGAGCGAATGAAGAAGTTTATAAGTCATAAAATATGCCTTTGTTGTATTTAATTTTAAGCTTCTTGTACATTATGATTCCAGTTTGAATGCTGTGCGCCATATTTTTCTTGAATTGCTATTTTTAAAAAGTATATTTCATAAAAATTAGTTACTCTCGAAATGTGGGATGGGCTGACGCTAATATTTTTTCATTTTGTATAACAAATTCTGTCCCTGCCGAATGCATAAGGTGTGAAAATATTGTATATAGTATTGTTGAAACTTTCTGGAGAAATGTGCGATATTGGTTTCTATTATTATGACACTTAACACTAGGTTATATCAAAAAAAAAAAAAACAAACAGTTAACTATTTATTAGATAGCCTCCTGTGCAGTAGGAAATGCAAGCTTCAAGGAGATCCAAAAAAATTCTAGTGAAATCGTGTTAGCTGTTCTATAATTGTTGATAGTACAGCGTAGGTTCATTATCGAATCCAGTAGGTACAATATGTGGTATAATCGTCAATGAATGGCTGTTAGTGTGTGCTCACTGATGGAGAGATGGAGCGATAGAGGAATCGAAAAAGAAATTACAGGTTTTTCACGAAACATGACGAGTTCTCCTCGTTTTCTGGCTTGCATATAGGATCATATCGTGAATGCAACTAAGAAAATGATGCAAGGGGGAAACCTCTTTGGGGTTTCCGAGTTGGAGGCCTTATTGGCAAGTTATTCTATAAATGATTTCATATATAATCCATGTGTCAAAGTAGCTGGTTTGCATATTTCTAGAATTAGTAGTTATCGCTAGTTTATATATTTCTCAGGAAGGCTTCTTGGAAGTTCGGTTACTTCAGAAATATGAATTAAGATAATCGGAGGTAGGTTATATTAAACGTCAAAAATTTGTTTTATATGACAGGATAATTTTTTACCTTCCTCTATTTAGAATATGGAATTATAATTGAAGTTCCAGAAGGTAAGCATAAAACTTGTAAAGTGTTGCCAATGTGGTAGAATACCTAAGTGTTGCAATAGGTTTTTTATAAAAGACATGAAATTCAACCATTAGTGAACTTATATCATAGCTTTTTTAAATTCTAAATATTGTAGAAAAAAAGGTCAAGAGTTCTCTTTTCCTGGATTGTCTGTATTTTGATCAGTTTACGCCATGATATTTAGGAAACCAGACACATGGAAAGTAATTTGATACAGATACTGAGAAACACAGTTGGCACAACAGGTTCTTTGTTTTAACGTAAAATTACATATAAAGATTATTGCTATTATCCAAATTCGGTAAAAGCACAATCAAACAGGAATTGTAGCTCAAAAAGTTATATGTTCATTCCTTTACTTGGTATATTAACCAATAAATTTAAACTCAAATTTGCTATGAAACAAGATACATTTCTAAGCACTCTATTTATTACGTCTACTTTTAACAAGTTAACAAGAACTCAAGTAACTAATCTCAAAATACAAAAATACGCAAGCCATAGAAATCGAATCTAAATGTAGCGTGAAAGCAGATATTTGTTAGCACAACAAGGTATTCAAAAAATGCAAATGCTGAAAAAACATAAGGCTCACACCGGCTGTTATGGCGATAATATAAAAGAGCACAAATAATGAGAAATAACACCGACCATTTGTAACACGTCTTCTTCACCCTGCAATTTTTATAACATTTGTTTCATTACATCTTCTCACTTGAATTGTGTCGCTTGTTATATTTCCTTACACAGTTACGGTCTAGACATGATTTCGTGGAATATAAGCCGTCAAATTATGATTCCCGACTTGCAAATGAACTACATAGCGCAAATTTTATATTACATAAAATTTTATATTATATAAAATGATTTAATTCATAGTAAACTGGGAAATTTCTTAAGACATTAGACAGTTATCGTGCCAGCTTTCTCCAATAACTTAACAAACAACAAAACTAATAAAGCCAATGACCTGTACGATTTTCTTGTATGAGTACTATAATCACAGAAACCGGTTATTCGATACATTATAATATGTAACGCACCATGAACTATTCCTGCCATCTACAAAATATTCACAGTTGGAAACGAAAAAAGAACTAGTTTTTTTTTCCTTTCAATCAAACCCGGAAATCTTTGTGTTAATAAAATATAACCAATACATGATGAATTGCAAAGTGAACCTGAAAGATGGAGAAAGCGAGAACATGGCGAAAATGATTATCTTTAGATGAGATAGCACTGACCACTGCTAAGCAAAATAATTCTAATAGGCTAAGAAAACAAGTAAGATAACGAAAAGCACTTTGTACAATAGTTTCCAATGGCACTCTGAATAACTGTGCATATGCAAATGCCGCTAATACTCTGAAATTATCTATTACAATATGTTAGAATACAATACCAAATTTCTTCCGTAATTTATGCTACCAGTTTTTGTTTCTGGTCTGCACCATATCTAACTTCATAGTTTCAATTTTAAATTTTAACTTTCATCAAAAAAATACACCGAGGTATAAGATGAATGAAAATCAGAATCCTCCAAACCAATCGCCCCCAATAGAAATCACCAATAGCAACCGATATTGATGGAAGAACATTAGGAATACGACAATGAGTTCTACAAAGAAAATTAATAGTATAGAACATTAAAAATTTTTTAGCATCATTTCAATAAAATTTTTTGTCGCAAAAAATGATTAAGAATTTTTATCTATAATTAAAAATTTCATAAAATTTGCTTGCAGAAAATTTGAAATCAAAAAATATTTGAATCAGATTTCGAGCCAAATCTACTTCTGTTTTCTTAAGAAATTCACCGTTTTGAGGATTATAATAAGAATTAAGCGATGAAAATATCGAAACACGGTGCTTGCATACAATGTAAAACTGTACTTACTCTGTAGCTTTTTCGAAATTGCTATACAACGCGAAAAAAATGCAAAAACAAAGACCAATGAGTGGGAAAGAGGAGAAAAAATATGTCGCGACACGGGAGGAAATGCTAAAGCATGCCTAAAAACTAATAATTTATTTCTAAGCTGGTTTTACCAGGACATGATTTAACGAGCTCTATGTAGAACAAAAGACATGGAAAGAGATAGAATGAAAGGAAAAGAGTATCACTACATGCAATCATGAGAATTGTAATAACAGTAGTAAGCGGGAAACAAAAATGTTTTAAGCTCAAGTTCCGAAGTTTGAATGAAGCCAGCACATATTTTCAAAAAGTTTGTGTAAAATTTACTTTCTGGTTATATAAAGCGTAATAATCAACCACGGTACCCAAAAATAATGGTATAACACCGAATGTAAAAACAGTGGCGTGATGCTGAAAATATGATCGTTTATTTATAAACCGGAGCGATGGATCTTGGCAAAGCTGATGGATACATTTCGAGCCTGGGGTTTAAAAAATAGCAATCAAAACTGATTCATTTCGTCCATTAATATTAACACATACTTTCCTCAAATACTTGTTACTTCGACTACTACAAATTAACCTACCTTCATACTTCACTTTCCTCATTAACTGCTCACTAAAGTAAAAACCCGCTTCTTACCTACGTTGTGATATCTTATTTGAATATTTATCTTACATGCAAACATCCATAAATGTATCTTCCTAAAGTCAACTGTAACAACCAAAAATATGTGACGAACTAAATCGCTGGAAATAGAATAACCTACATGATAAAAAATTTGGGAACCTTTATTCGGTTTTGACCGATAAAATAGCTCCATGGCGCTTTATCATTGGAAATTCACTTTTGATACACCTAAAAATATTTCACAATTTCGCTTCTTCACTAATTACCGCAGTAAAGAAATAAACCAAAGTTATTGTCAATGGAAAAAAAGAGAACCTTTTTCCTAAAAAACATCCCCACATTCGAAATTAAAATAAGAATGTGAATCGTTCGTTCATTTATTCATACAGCCAGCCAAAATATCCAAACACCCTTTGCCGAGGTACCAACAACAACCTCATGGCGTCACCAACGAAACAACAAAACGAACCATTTGCAAAATCAATATTAGAAATTTAACCGAAACGTGCTTCAAAGACCATTTTGAGAAATCAGTTTGTCTGTACTTTAGCCTGATTGCAGTATACTCTTTTAACCACTGCTTTTGTCTCTGTATGCCGTGTTTTTTCACCAAATGCTATCGATTTCAAATCGCAATATGTTTTTTTTTTTTCATCATTCATAACGCAAATTTCCAATGAGTAGTGAGTAATCTGTGTTCGTCAACCAATGCTATTTCACAAATTTTATCAGTCTCTAATCCTCTTCGAATATACTTGTATCTCGCTGTTGTCTCGATTGTAACCTTACTTGCATTATCGTCTTCAGATTGGAGATTTTTGCCATTATGAGAAATTATAGGATAGTGGGAATGGAGGGGGGCGAGAGGCTTAATGGTTTGTTGGCTTTTTTTTTAATTTTTAAGAAGTGACTATCAATTTTACTATAAGAAAGTGATGTCATCGAATCTTTTGGATCAGTGAACTGCAGTAAATTACCATATTTAGCAGGAAATTCCATAATTTTCAGTACTTGAAATACTACTACTTTTTTTTGCATTATTGATTACTTCTATAAAAAATATAACTGAATCATGATAACATATTTTTCATGCTAAACGCAAACCATTTGATACGCATTACTCATTCTAGGAAAGGAAAAATTAATGATTTACGGACACGGGGTATTATTTTAAAGGTGTCATGAGTTGGTGTTTTATAACGAATTGTGAAGAAATTGAAAGCGTATAAAATAATACAATTAGGGGATCTATGGT